TGTCGCCATCGAAGCGCGAGGACTCGTTGGGGAACTTCAGGATCTGAGACCAGGTCAGGTTGTTACCCTTGACGAAGTCGGCGTTGAAGAGCGTGTTGGTGGCCTGAGTGTCGAAGGAGACGGGTGTCATGTTGGCAGGGACACGGCCGTCGAAGACGATGGGGCACTTGGGCTCAGCGGCGCGAGTGACATGGGGGTGAAGGGCGGGTGCAGCCAGTGCAGTGGAGGCAACTGAGGCCAAGGTAATGAGCGTAGAAGTGAACATGATGATGGTTCAAAAGAATGTAGTAGAGACTGTGGATGCGCTGGATGTGGATGAGACGACAATAGTGGGTGGGTGGAGACACTCTTTATACAATTCTCAAACGCGACACTGAACGCTTCCTTACCCCAAGTCCATCTGAGCACGGTTCATATTAGATGAACATGTCGGTGCCCACGCGTCCGGCTTGTTCCATGGCCGAAATATAGGGATACCCGCGCATTCATTTGGGGTACTGCAGAAAGTAGACAGCTAACCAATGGCATGGGCAGGAGAATAGTGATGGAATATTCTATAGTAGGCCCGACGACGTCAGGGTAAGGCCGCATTAATATAGGTGAAAGACGCTGCTGTCATGAGGCTCCTTAACCGGGATGTGGGGTAATGTGCACGGCTGCTGGTCAAGTACCGGACGGTCCGGCAACCCGTTGCTTTTTAACCTGGGAGTATTAAGAAGAGGAGTCGCGCCGACTGTTGTACCTGAGATGAGAACGGTCTTTTACCGTCCACCGCACCTCAATCCAACTCTTCATCACATCGCGATCCTTTTCGAACAGGACCTACTGCCTTCACAGCCCAAAGCGCAATTTCATGCGTGGAGCAGCAGCGACAACCGACATTTTCAGAAAGCGACCGAATCAGGCCGTCAAACACACCGGCGCCGCCAAGTTTCATCAACACCGGGAATGCGACCGAGTCGTAATGATCTGAACAAGCATGGCTGTCAGCAATGGGCTGAATGTGGTTCTAGAGTCGTTCGCGACGCTGGGCATAATGTTGAAATGGAGAGGATATAGTGGTGTCAAGAGTTGGCAGCAGCCGTTCGGCGACGCGCAGATGGTCCAAGCGGAACAACTGTATTCCACCCACCGGCAGCGGAAGGTCAAGCCTCCGCTCTGGACGAATTCACTCCAAATCGTCCATCTACCTACCACGAGGGTATCTCAAGGGCCGAATGCGCGTCGGGTAGATGTGAAGATGTGTGCTATTATCATATACAGGTCTAACGCCCGCGGTATCATACCGCCTCGCAGTTTATGCCCTGCGTCTATGCTCAAACTCTGTTCATTACATATTCGCCCAAGAAGCTCATCGGCCTGATGTCCATCTTCCTGTCAACATGACGCTTGCTCAACGCGCTGTTTGCGACGCTCCACATATCCAAAATGATGTGCCAACCCAGAACGCCATGCATGAACGTGGTGCAAGCAACCGCAACGCCTCCCTATATGTCGCTGGTCTCGAATACAAGTCCGTCTCTATACGCTGACGTATGAGTGTTTCTACATCTCTTGTGGGGTCAGCCAGGTGGCTTCGACGCAACCTTCGTAAAACTCTCTCTGGCCATTTTGTCCCTCGACACCAAAGCCCATGTCGCGGAGCTTTCCGGTGTCCCAGCCACTGACGAACTCGCCTTGACCGCCGTTTTCTCGGTCGACAGCATCGCCAAGCTTGATGTAATCGGCGTGACGACAGACGGTCTGCGAGTAAGACCATTGGAGGCAGTTGCCGTCATTAGCGCACTCTGAACCGCACGAGCCGGCGTTGCGATGTGCGGGACGATCGTTCGGTACGGGCGCTTGCGAAAGGTTATCCCACCATTCTTTCGAGGGACCCTGTGATAGGAAGCCGTGAGTATAAGAGAGGAACGAGGAGTAGGTGAATGGTTTCTATGACGTTATGTTAGTCAGGTAGCTTAGGTTGGAGCTGAGGAAATGCTTACCGTGTTGTACGGCCGTGTCCTTTCCCACCTCCACAAGTCTTCCATCTGCTGTGGCTTGAGTTGGTGCAGCGAGAGCATTGGCACGCACCACTTGTCGCGTGTGGTGGTCACATCTTTGAGCTTGTCGCTAGCAAAGGTAGGGTACATGGGCTCGAGCTTGTGGCCGGTCGCGTTCTGGATGGCGTAGGCAAGGACAGCGTCGCCGCGCTGCTCCTCCTTGACCCAGTTCTCGTATCGAACGCCTAGTCGGTTTTCGCGGGGGATCTCGGTGGAGCCGGGAGTCTTGCCTGGAATGAGTTGCTTGACAAGGCCCTGAGACAGGACGATACCTGCGCCGCCATAGGCGAAATGGCGGCCTTCAGAGCCCTTGTGCGCCTCGCCAAGGTAATGTGGCTGCGAGGCGTCGAGCTGGCTTAGCAGGCGGAACAGCGTGTCCCAGAAAAAGTAGACGTCCGACTCAATGAAGACGAACCATTTGGCTGCGGGGTTGGTCATGTATGCCTTGTCCACCATGGGCAGGTACTTGAAGCGATCGAGCTTGAAGGACCGCTGTTGCTCCTTGACCGTCTCGCCGCCTTCGTGTGCCTTCTTGTGCTCGACGTAGATCTGGAAGTCGACATTGTCCTTCTGGTAGCTCTTGGGAAGCTCTGCGAGGATGTCGATGACATGGCGGTCTCCCAATCGCTCTTCCCGGTCGCCCACGATGATCAGGTTCGTGATGCAGCTCGATACTGTGCTGAGGTGTGCTTTCGTCTCATGTGCCCCATCCGATGCGACCTTGAGGACAACCTGCACCTCTTCCAGCAGCTTGGTAGGGAAATTCTGGCAGTAGTCGAGCTCGATTGAATTGGCGGCTTTGGTTTCGAGGGGCGGGAAATACGACTTTGTCTTCGCTTTGTGTACGGGCGCCTGGGGATGTGACCCTCTCCGATGCGAGAGTGTGTATGCAAAAAAGAAAAGAAGGAGGCCGGGGAAGAGAAATCTCCATGGCCGCCGTGCCAAACGGCCAGCCAGCGGTTTCAGCATGTTGCCGTCGCTGCGGCCGTGGGGGATGGGCGGTCGCTAGGGGCCTGGGGAGCCGCAGGTGGTAGGGAGCGATGCTATGAGGAGGAAGGTGCGATGGGTAGGCGGGCAACGTCACCGTGGCACATTGAGCAGGCGGTTGGTGTTGGGTGGTGGATGTGGAGGTGTCGACGACGATGATGGCGCATTGGCCCTGAACCGCCGTCCTGCGCGACTTGCGAATCCAGGCCGGCTCCCTGACACGCGAACCCGCTAGCCGCCGGCGCTTGGCCTTCCCCTTGTGTCTTGGTGCTCCAACACTCCAACCACCTGCAAACCTCAGTCCTTTCATCCTCCTTCACCCGTGATTGCTATGCGCAACATCGCCATGCATGTTAGGTGCAACAGTTTCAATATCTACAGCGGGCATGTAGAATGCTGGCGATGACGTGTCCGCCATTCTCATCGACTTCCTGGAAGAGTGGGAGCTATCCGTATCCGTCCAGTGGAATGACTGCTCTTCAAACTGGTTGTACTCTGGGTCGTCCTCCACGTCCGACCAGTTTGGTAAGTTGTCCATGTCAAAGTCATCCGTGTCTTCGTGGTCGGTTCTTGGAATACTGTCTGGGTGTGGCGAGAGGCCAATCGATTCCAGGAAGAGATCACACGAGTCGGCCGATCGTGTTATGAAGAAAGGCGCGCGCTCCATGTCCGCACCTCCACGCTGCCGAGTTGCGTGTTCCCGCTCGACGAGTTGCGCCGAAGAACACGCGAACGACCATGCTGAGGCGCTCTCTTGACTGGTGAGGCTAAGCGTTATTGCGTCCGCATGGGATTGCATGTCCATCATCGAAGAATAGAAACTCGCTCTTTCCTGTATGGCGCATTGATCGTGTCGACGTTCCTCTCCAGTACGGTTGCGTTCAATCCTGTTCTCCTGGCCACATACGAAAGACCTGCTCAAGTCCCTAGTCGTACCAGGAAGGCTCATAGTCTTTGGTCGCGCGACGCTTCGTGAAAGACGCCGATCGTCTTCCTCAGATGTATTGCCCGCAGCAAAAGACGAAGACAGCGTCAGTCTCTGGCCAATGATACGTAGTTCGTCCAGCGGTAGCCTGTGTACGAAACGCAATATCGCAATATTGACTTGGAGACCTGCATACGCATTCAAATCGCTTATACGCTGATTGACTGTATCCTTTCTCGGAGCGCTATCGATGGACGCTCCACCCCGCTTCACTGTCTCGGGGCATGTGCGGTCAATTGGCGCGATCGGTGGCGTAGACGGCGACGTTCGCGCTTCGCTGTGGGACGTTGCTCGGGTTTCTATTGTCGAGGTAGATTTGCTGTCGGTGTCGTGTTGCGCCAGAGAAGAGAAAGGGCTTGATTCGCGCGACCCTATGGACTCGCCGCGCGCTTTAAACATGGAGATTGACAGTCGACGACTTAGCGAACGAAAGAATCGCTTGACTTTTCCCATCGGTAAGCTTGATATTCCCGACATAATCATAACGCTGGTTGAAGAGTAAAGCGTTGCAGTATTTTCGAGTAATTACGGTGTAGTATAGGAGATCGACTGTCATAGCGCACTCGTGGCTTCTTTCACAAGTCCGGCGCAACTTTCGCTCGGAAGACCTTTGCCGTTCGCACCTGGATTCACCGGCCGTCGTGAATACATACGACAGCTGTCTTGCCACGTCCTTCCGCTTCACGAGTACCTCGTCGTAATACCACATCCGAAGCTACACAGTGTATCGAAATAAAGGCGTGGGAGAGGAAACACAACGGAAACGATGGTGTTGAAAATTAGCTTCGTACGATTTCCCGATACTCACAGCGGCGACGTGACTCGCATGAGGTATATAATGTGTGCTCCGTTACTACACTACTCCTCGACCAGAGACCATACTTTCATATTACTGCCACTGATCTAGCCGCCAGCAACATACTCACTTTACTCAGCAAGCAAGACATCGTACACAAGCAATCGCAATACAGCTACCATATCCCATCATGAAGTGTCAGCTTCTCTCCACCTCGCTCCTCCTGAGCCTCGTTCTCGCCGCACCAGTCGCAGAGCCAGCCAATCTCGTACAGCGAGCTGACAAGCAATCCTGTTCATCAAAGCCCCACCCAACTCTAGAAGACTTCCACAAGGCAGCAAAGAAATGGTGCGACGATCACGTCCGCGCCGACGCTCCCATGCCACCGATGTTACCCAAGCCTGTCATCGACCCTCACAACAAGCCCGTGATGCCGCCTCTTACCGCCGATTACACCTTTAAGCTACCCAATCCCGACAAAAAGAAGCCCGATATCTCTGTCCCTGTAACATTCGAAGTCCGCGGCTTCGCGCCTATTACCCGGCGCTATTGTCACATTGGGTTTGGCCTGCCGGTCACCTTTGACAATGGGCGAGCCGATGATGGGAAGTATCAAGTGGAGGAACAGGTTGGCAAGGGTAATGTGTGTACGGGATCAGGTGGGAAGACGCTGGTGCAGGGTTGGAATCAGACTATATGGTGGAATGAGTATGGCGTTGTTTTTAAGTGAAAGTGAGAAGATTTCGTCTCATAGTTGTCACGGACGTGTAAAAGAGGACATTTCTAGTATCTTGTATCAATTATCTACTATGGTTTGCCGAATACGTCTCAGCAACACTGTGTCATCTCGTTGTCATCAATACGACCGGAAGGTCGCCGTGGGATCCTGCAGTAACATTCGACCAGATACAGTGCTGTCATGCGTATACATCCTCTACTGACCTGCTCCTCCATCCATTACAAACCAGTATAAAGTCTCTAAACCTCTTCCGCCATCCTCGCACGACGCGGCAACTTACTTCGTGGTCGGCTTGGGCTTCTCGGGGATGACGGGGGCGGGTGTAGTCATCTGGGGGACATGCTTATTGTCCTCCAAGACCTCGTCCGGAAATCCGCTTTCGCTATGCGCCAAGGTGCACTCGACGAGGGGGCACTTGTCAGCAGCGAGTTTGAAGTACTTGCATCTCATGCGCTTGCACTCCAATCCGCGATAAGTGCATGGCCAGCAAGGCGAGCTACCGTCGCACTGTTTGATGGTCTTGCTGTGGAAGCACTCGACGCACGCGACGAACTTCTTGTTCTTACGGCGGCGCTTGTTGGAGTTGGACAGCGTCCGAGGTCCTCTAAGATTGCGTTAGCGACAGCAACAAGAGTATCAATGTTAAAGACATACCCGTTCTGTTCACCCCCGGGCAAGGCACGCTTCTTGGTCTTGATCCGAGCGATGGCCAGCCTAGCCGCATCCAACTGCGACTTTGTCTCTTCAGCGGCCGCTTCAGTGCGCCTCAACTTCAGGTTGACCCGAACGGCGGTATTGAAGACAGCCTCCTTCTCCAACTTCACAGTCCGAAGCTGACGGGCCAAGGCCTCGTTCTTTTCATTGAGTTCAAAGATCACGAACTCTTGCTTCAAGGCCTCCAGCCTCCGCTCCGTTCCCTGTCGAGCAGTCTCAGGAGTGCGTCCCATGTCACGAAGACTGGCGTTTGTAGCTTTGATAAGCGCCAGATGATAGACGAGACGGCCGTTCATGAAGTGGATGTTTTCGAGACCCTCTTCGCGAGGGACGGGCCTGGGACCGCCTCCAGCCATACGACTAGGTTTGGTCAGTCACGTATCAGGCGATGGATGTGTTCATAGACTCACCGTGAACGTGATCCTGAGTTGCTACAAAATGAAAGCAGATACTCGAGCTCTGCCTCGTCGTTCGCAAAACGCATACCGCGCATACCGAGAGCTTGCTCGTAGGAGGGAGGACCATTAGATGACTCGTAGGCGGGAGGATCATTAGATGACTGATCGTCGCGCGGGTCCGCCATGTTCGTGGATGGTTGGATTGAAGATGGTCAAAGAGGTGCAGGGTCGGGACCGACAGAGTCACTGGCTAATTGATATACTGAGGTGCGCGCTAGACGAACATGTGGTCTAGCCATGTCCAAAAGCAGACGCTATACCTTACTAGTCGTGGTAACAGTGAAAGATCGTATCTCCTCGTCACATTTGCTAAGATACATTTGCCTCGCCACAATCCCTCGATGACTGAATATACCTGGGTATGTAGGTACTGCCTTTCCATATGTACGTCCGCAACTTCTGTGGCTGCAAGTACGAGTTGAATGGAACGCTACCAAATACGATCTTCGGCGCTGAGTGACTACTTCAACATGTATATGTTTGTTAACTAGCTCTGCGAAAGCACATGATCTTACGAGGATACTATCAGAACACACGAGATTTCACTGTCACTTCACTTTGCATAAGAAGCTATAAGGGTGACATCAAGTCATGAGTACACCAGGTTCATCTGCAATGCGACCTTTTGTAGATACATTGTTCTATGTGTTCACATTTATTGCGGCCGTAATGCTTCCCAGTGGCCGTAATGCCTCCCAGTGGCGACATTAGTACATAACTCTGCTTCCTGTAGACCCAAAGTGTCTTGTATCTATACACGCGAAGCTACTCATCCGCTGTAATCCCAACCTAATTTCCGTCCTTGAACAGCTCGCTGTAGTCATCCATGTGAACACGGGCACAGTTGACGATGTCACATGCAACACGCGGCTGGTCGTAGTTGCGGCAGATGGGGTTGGTGGGTGCCCTTGTTCATTAGTGGATGTATATGATGACAGATGGGAGGCTAGACTTACGAAGTGGTTGTCTAACTGTTCGAGACATGGGCGGCCTCTGGTGTCGACTGAGGAGCAGCAACGTCCTCGTCCTTCTGAGCGTTGCGCGCCTCGAGAATAGCGACTTCCTCCTCAAGTCTAGCGACCTCCGCCCAAAGTGCATCTGCACGCTCTTTCGCGGCTTCGACCATCGCATATTCTGCGCGGACCACGTTCTCCAGGTTCTTGAGACAGGCGTGCTCAGAGCGAAGTAGACGCTCGAGCGCCTTCCGTCTAGCGCGTCGCTCGTCGTCGGTGAGAAGCGAGCTATACAGTCAGAAACGACCGGAGTGAGTGGCTGTAGGGGGTACTTACATATCTTGCTCAAATAAAGAACCATCCGCATACGACTCAGCGATGGAAATGCGGAGCTTTTCATCCTGAGTGAGCTCGCGATCTTGAACGCCCGAGTCCTTCTTATTGGCGTCTGCATGCGGGGAGTCAGACTGAACTGGTGAGGCCGATGGCGAAGCCGATCGAGCGCGTTCAGGGGAGTGCGAGGAGGACATGGTAGTGATAGTCTTGGAAAAGGTCGAAGTCAATGAGTGTGCGACGATTGATGAGAGAAAGTCGAGTTATTGTCGCGAGGCAGACAAGTAGAGTCGGTGAGTCCAATCGCTTCTAGTCTACTCTAGCTCACGCGGTGTGTCACCGGGTGTGGTGCGTATTCTGGTGGGATATCATAAAGTCACGTGCTTTCGCAGATAGTTTCCACTAACACTATACATCGTCTACCAGCCTCTAAACCTTTTTTGCTATCCTCGCGCAACGCGGCAACTACCTTTGTGGTTAGCTAGGGCTTTGGGAGAATGAAGGGCAGAGGCTCGAGCGACTGCGGGACATGCCCAGGTGGTGGCCACCGGTGTTCCTCCAGGGTCACTTCCGGAAAGCCAATGTACGTCGCTACCGATGCATCAAGGTGCAGTCGGCGATGCGACGTGTTACCAGCTATAATGCAGTTCCAATAACAGACATCCGGTGCTGGCAAGGCTGCAATGACGTGATTAGAGTATTAGTCTTCCTCTCTCACCTTCATCTCGCCGTTACCTACGCCGACTATTAACCAGGGCACAGACGTCACGTGCGTCCAAGAGCGCCAAGCGCCTAGTGGCCCCGGCTGTCTATATCAACTTGGTCTGCTCCTCTAATTTGCGCTTTCCTTCTCCAACTGTTTTTTACTGCCTTTCCACGGCTTATCGGTTTCGGGCTCACTCTAAGATACTCTTCTTGAGATCAATTGTTGAGTCCCTTCGAGTCATACTCAGATCCACGGAGCTTGAGTACCTCGTTGGCTGAAAGACTGTGCGTTGAACAACCCAGACCCCCTGGAACGTTCGCTAGAGATCCATGTGTTGATGCAGGTCTGACAGCCTGATCGATGCCTCGCCCGCAGTGCAGTTCATTCTCAAGATACAGGATCTACGGAGCCGCCACGATACTTAGAGGTTGGGTAACATGTACACTCTGCGCTCATTGTTCCGACGGTCTCGATCGCGTAAACGATGAAATTGTTACCTTCCGATCAGCCTGCCGCTCTGTTGTCAGACATGGGCGCATCGCGATACGGAAATTTTCATTGAGTACCTTTCCCTTGTGGCGAGGCTTGAGGAAGATTAATGTTTGCGACCTGTTACCGAAAGGATAGCTTGATGTTCGCGATGTGAAGGAAGCCAAGTTCTTATCGTGTGCTTCACCTTATAGAAGAAAGCGATTGAACGTCGACCTGCTAGAAGTCTACATGGGCTTGATATTCTGTAAACTCTAGTTTTTATACTGATGTAGGCGGTAGCGGACCCGTGGAGCCTTTTTCCTCTATGACGCAATCTCCAGGAACAAGTCGCGATGTTGCTGAATTCCAGTGAGATACATGAACAGCGACCAACTCCGCAATGTCTATCGATGCAAGTATTTGACTACCACACCGAACACTGAAGCCCGTGAGTCTCGACAACTACAATCGCTGTATGCTGTAAAGATGCAAGTACCCGTATGCAGTGATGTTCTTGCACTCTTCACTACATCTGTTGATGATGATTGGGCAGCCTTCAGCGACGCCTGTACGATGCACCCTCTACGCATTCCCTTTGCACTCGTCTCAGCCATAGCTCGCTCTAGATATCACATCGGCGTGAAAGCGCCGTTCCTTGGACAACGTCCATGAGCACCACATACGGTAACACACCGCACGAGCTAGCGCGGGCTAGCAGCGCTTGGGCCCATTCTATATATCTGCCTTGTGACAACAGTTTCTTTCTCTCTCACCAATTGTCGCAACCTTATTGACATTGACTTGCTCAAGATCACGATGACATTCTCTCGCTCCCGCTCCCCCGCCCGCGCGCGATCGGCTTCGCCTCGCCGTTCACCATCCACTTCGCAAGCTCTGCCTGCTTCCCCGTACTCCGACTCCTATGACGGCGAGGATGACGACGGTAACGGCTACGATAACTACGACTACGACGACGACGAGGAGTCGGGTGCTCAAGATCGCGAGCTCACGCACGAGGAGAAGGTCCGCCGTTGCCTCGCCGACTCGCCCTCACCAACGGGTTCTCCAGTACGTCAAGATGAGTAAGTATTCCCCACAACGCTCTACATCGTATGATCATATCTAACTCTGCAGATCGCTCTTTGGTGCGGACGAGTGGAAGGCCAAGGCAGAGGAGTCCGCTCGTAAGCATGGCGCCGAGTACATCTCCCATCTTCACACCAAGGACTTGTACCGCGTCGACCTTGCGGTGAAAGAGTCCCAGGGCGACTACATCACCACACTTGAGGCTGAGGCCGCCAAGGTCAAGGCCCTTGAGGCTCAGGTCGCCAACCTCAAGGAGCAAATGGCCAGTATGCAGGCTGAGAAGGACAAGAAGATCCTTGCTCTCGAGTCGGAATTCAAGGCCCTCGGCTTGGGCACTCAGGCCGCCGCTCCTCCGTATGTTCATCTTCCTGCATGTCAAAGTATGACTTCACTAACAGATTAGGACGCCCGCCAGCACCAAGTGCAGCAACTGGCTCAAGCCTCGTGCTAAATGTTTCGCGGGCTGCACTCGTCTTCACCGGGAAGATTTGATCATGGTCGCTGAGACCGGAGGCAGGGTCAAGCCGATTGAGGAGCCGATGGAGGAGGCTATGTGATCGCGTGTATATATACAGAGTACTTGGGGGCTATAGAAGGCAGCATGGTGTATCGACGTCGCCGTCAGTCTGCGATATGGTTGCCATCAACGCGAACGAATAATACAATGTGTCCGCAAAAGGACGCGTTCAGATGAACTCGGTAGACTTATCAAGCAACGTCACCCTTATAATCATTCTTTCCAAGTGAAGTAACAGCAGGAGTTCGCCTGTTCTAAGAGCATTTGCAAAAGTCTATTGCACATCTGTATCTCGCCGATGGAAATCAGAACGATAGCGAAGGATCTTGGAGTCCCGAGTGAGCTTTGCCGTCAGGACAAGCATCGCTTGTGGCGATCAGGCGCGACGACTTCAGGGATGACAGGGCGCCTCATCGCGCTCACGATCTTTCTGTAGACTGTCACGCCGAAGTATCGCCTAGTCGTCGATCGTGGGGAACGATACATGGTGTGCGGGGACGGAACTTTGGTGTAGGCATTTTGCGGTATGAACCAGCTGAGAGCCTGTTGGATTGGCCCCAGATGTATAAAAAACACCATCGTACATGGTCGTGGACCGCGTGTTGTGATTAGTAGAGGTGATGTCTTCGGTGAGGTTGGTAAGCTTCCGGCTATTCCTACCAATCAGCACGGCCCCGCTTCCGGTACTGAGGTAGCCTACATCATCACCAGTTGACATCGCCTTTCCCATGTGTTCACGACATCTCTTCAGCAGTATTCGACGCCGTTTCATCTCTACATCTCATCGCAAATTCAAATCCGAACAGAAGTCACTCAGAATGGCAAACACCAGCGAGTTGCGTCTCGACCAGCATCCCACTATGCGCCTGGTAATGATCAGCTGACAGATGCAGTCTAGTACGACTAGCACAGAGACTCGTCCGCGATGGGCCATGTAAGATAGAGCATACAGCACGTCGTGTACGAGGCCTTCTCAACGGGAAGTACGCGTTCGATACTTTGAACGCGCACCATGTTTGGGAACTGGAGTTACGTTACCCACAGTATGGACAGCCTCTTCATCCGTATGCTTTGGCTGTGCTAAACATACCAGATATTTCGTACCAATCTCAAGCTTCACTGCCCACGCCAAACTATCCCGAGGCTCCATTGTAGACGGGACAGATGGCGGCGCACATCTAGCGAGTCTTACGGTCGGCAATCGCAGTAGCAATCGCATCCTCATCTTCAACACCGGCAAGCTCAAAGATCTCGTAAAAGTCGACTTCCGAGCTGTTGACCAATGGTTCGAAGAAGACATGGAGATATATGGCCATCCCAAAGATCCCTACAAGCGCATCGACATTTTACCATCTTCTCGAAACGTCAGGGTAGCCGTCGACGGCGTTACACTTGCTGAAAGTTCAAACGCCTTGTTCCTTTTGGAGACCACGTTGAGGACTAGGCATTACTTGCCACCGACGAGCGTCAATTGGGAGTATCTCACACCCAGCGACACGCTGACTTTGTGTCCGTATAAGGGTCGCGCGGAGTATTACAATGTCAGCGTTGGCGGCAAGCTGTATCGGGATCTTGTATGGTACTATAGATACCCAACTTCGGAGAGCGCGCCTATTGCCGGACACATGTGCTTCTATAACGAGAGAGTGGAGGTTTATGTTGATGGCGTGAAGGAGACGCCTTGATAGCGGCTGTCCACGCTCTGCGCATGGGTAAAAAGTAGATGCCTCGTCAATATCTATGCGATCTTTCGTACCGCGCAGCTGAGCGTTGAATGAGGTTGTGTATGTGACGCGAGACCGTATGCAGGGCGTTGATGACTTGGGGTCTGTAGTTGCGACGAAGCCGAACCCAATCTTGCGTTGTCCGACTCTTCTATCCGCCTGCACCCTCCCATACCTCTCAATTGAATGAGGACTGGGGTCGAAAATCTATCCTTGTGCCAAGTTGTGATGAGCTGTGAAAGGAAACAGGAGAATTTATTGCTGTACGGCGCAGATGATGCACGGGAGTCACCTTGCCCGTTACGTGTATATTCCAGCTGATAAGCCGACGAACGTCCGGACAGCTATACACATGGCCATATCCTATTGCTGGCTATTGCGGTTGCTGGCGAGCTGTCCATTAACACGGAAGATGGAAAGAAGCCTCCAATATGTCAACATCATTGACAGAACATATAAGGTTGCCTGGAGAGCAATGACCGGGTGAACCACGGATCGCAGATCGAGATGAAGATTCGTTATGGTCGGTGCTGTCGGAGCGCGCCAGCCTCGCAAGTGCAGCGAGTGGAGCGATAGTCTCTCCGCCCAGCTACAGTCCGAAAAGCAAACACTAGTCATGTAAAGCCAAGACATATCCCGGCGTGATTCCGATATCTCCAGTGCTAACTGCTTCGAGGCCTGTCTCTTAAACGCGAAACAATCCGGAGCGGCTGGAATGCGCGACGCCTTGGCAGGGGAATCGAGGGGGAGATTGCAGCTGCAACGCCACATAGTCAGCATCCAGCTGCGGAATCCAGCGGCAATTTGGGCATCGCATTCTGTACTGGCAGGCATGGTGCAAATGTTGTGTTGCGAGAGCATGGAGTGCTGAGTGAGGATGGCAGGCCTGACTGCTTCTTCGAGTGCCGTCAATCTCCGCCGTGCTTCCGACTCGCAGCAAGCGGCATGAACCCATCCTACCAGCATCACCGGTGCATCCCACCACAACAGGAAAAAAACTGTGCGCTGTCCCACTTCGTATATGCATCCTTACTCAGGCCATTTTGCTTTCATGTCATGCCGCGCTGACTGCAATAGACACCACCGCTTGAAGTTGTAGAATCTACAAAGATCCGCAACGTTGTCTGCATCATGGTCTAGAACTGCGAAAATTGTGCCTTTTCTCGTGGATTTTCTTTGATTCTGTCGGTTGACCCGGACTGCAGGCTCTACCACTGCCGTGGCAAGACTCGTTTGCGTAGGGCGTAGTTCCTTTTCCTCCTGAGGTGGCGCGCGCCGTCTCTCGGTTCCTGCAGCCACCAGCAAACTATCATCACTCCACCCCGCTGCTGTCTTTGCACGGCACACTCGGCATAGGTAATGGCCAAGTACGCCTTCGCACCCTTCGCGAGGCCAAGTATTGACCTTCGTATCTTGGGGAATGTCTTTCCTTGCGTTGAGCCTGAGGCGCAAACTAGAATTGCAGTAAACTTGGTTGTTTCAGCCGAGCCCGAACCAAGTTCAGTGCGCGGAGAGTTTCTGGATTCCTGTCTCATGGACTGTGGACGTCATAGCAATAACCTACGCGATCAACGCCGCAGCACAAATATCGCAAAGGAACGAGGGGCGCACCGTTGACCGGTCGTAACAGTGTATACCCACCATGAGTAGCGATGATTACCATACAATGGGACGCCGTGCTCCACAAACGCCTAGAAAACGATGTATCGAGTTCAGGGGTCGCCATGTCCTAGCCGCTCCCCGAGCCGAATAGTAAGCCGACCTATCCTTGATACAGCACAAGCGCTCCGGTGATCTACCACCGCCCAGGTTCTGCTGACCCGAAATAGACCGTGTGGCCCTACTATAGTAGAAGCGACAGGGCTGCTGCGCGAAGACGTGCATGCCGAGGCCACTAGACTAATCTCGCTCGTGTCAGGTCTCGCGCCGCTGCGTCGGGGAGAAAGATATATCTAGGGAGAGTCTGCGCCTGGGAAGATCTTCACGAGTTATCGCCTGTCACTCATCGCCCTTACCGTCAACTCGGGGTGCAGAGACTCATCACTCTTGGAAGTCATAGACTTCCGTACATTCGCTTTTGCAACACACTCGCTTTACTACGCTTAACATGCGTGTTACTACTCTAATAGGCCTTCTGGCCGGACTTGCCAGTCAGACTGTCAACGCAGCCTGCAGCGCACCCCTCAAGATCGACGACTTCTCCAAGCAGACTTCCAACCAGAACAGCTTGGGCGAGTGGACCAGTGGTAAGTCTTGTTGAAGTCCTGCACAAGAAGAAAGGCTAAACAGCGCAGATGATGGATCCATGTCCTCGATCTCGGCCAGCGGCGGTGTCCTGTCCTTCAAGCCCAAGGCAGGTTCCTACTTTTACGAGACCTTCCCTTGCCAGGCAGCTAGCTCCAATGGATACAACTCCATCAGCTTCCAGATGAAGGGACCTGCCGGTGGTTCCGCGACCCTCGAGATCCAAACCAAGACCAGCTGCTCGGCTACGACATACTCTTCCAAGTACGTTTCGATCTCTGGATTGACTGGCAGCACTCAGACCATCAACATCCCTCTGTCTCAGTTCTCCGGTGCCAACGCCAATGCTGTTACCGGTTTCGTTTGGGCTGGATTCTCTTCCACCACTGCCACATGGCAGATGAGCAACATCGCCTTTGGTTGCGGCAGCAGTGCTGGTGGCAGCACCTCCGTCTCCGCAACCAGGGTGGCTACCACCTCGAGCTCCTCGGTCCGCAGCACCATGACGACAATCTCGTCTCCCACAGCCTCAGCTGGAACCTGCTCTCCTTTGTTGATCGATGACTGGATTTCTCAATCGCGTCTGACTTTCTTGTTCTACAACGCCATGGGGTACCCTACCTCTGATGATGCTTCCATGACTTCCATCACCGTTGGAAAGCCGTCTACTAACCACGTCGAGTTCGTTCCCAAGGCCGACTCGTACTTCTACACCCAGTTCCCCTGCGTCGACGCGAAGAAGAACAAGTACACCGGTATTTCTCTTCGCATCAAGGCTCCTAAAGGCGCAACCCTGTCCGTTCAGCTCGATTCTTCGGACAACTGTGACGCGACCAACCCCAAGTCCACCTACGCGTCCGCAACTGACCTTGGATGGACTTTCGATGGAACTGAGAAGCTGTACACCATTCCCTTCAGCAAGTTTGCCGGTCTCAACACCGAGAAGCTTACCACTATCCTCTTTTCCGGATTCTCTGGTACCACTTCATTCGGACCCATGGCCTTCTACTGCGGCAACTCTGGAGAATACGTTGTGCCTTCTACCTCTGCCGACCCCGGCGCCTCTGCTACCGTTCCCGCTCCTAGCAACCCATCAGCTACCGGCCTTGTGATTGACAAGTTCGCTAACGCCAACACCAACGCCATGGGCAACTGGCACGGTGGTGACGAGGGCATGTCTCTCCAGTACGCTGGCGGCAAGCTCACCATCAAGTCCCCCGACGCCGACTACTCCTACTACACCCAGGTGTCTGGTGGCTGTGCTGACTTCACCAAGTACAAGGGATCTTACCTCCACATCGCTTACACCGGTACCACTGCCTTCACTGTCGCTTTCCAGCAGCACAACAGCCAATGCAACACCGAGATCGCTCCCTTCCCTGAGACTTGGGATTCCGCCGAGGCCGGCCGCTACGCCAAGAACGGACACATTTACATCCCGATCAGCCACTTCAACATCAACCTCTCCCGCGTCGTCGGCTTCGCGCTCAAGGGTTTCCACAGCAGCGAGTCCGTCACCCTCTCCGTTATCGAGATTGTCTCCTCTGTTCCCGCTGGTACTACCATTCCTAAGAAGGATGAGACTGGTGATCTAGTCTTCGCTTGCAAGCGCCCCAACTCCTTCGCTTTCGCCATCGACGACGGTCAACCCGACCTCGCCCAGGAAGTCCTTAAGATCATCCGCGAGGAGGACGTCAAGGTGACCTTCTTCACCGTCGGCGCTCCCCTTCTCGACGCCTCCACCAACCTGACCAATGTCTACAAGGAAATGATGTCCGCGGGTCACCAGCTCGCCCTCCACTCCTTCACCCACCCCAAGATGGAGGGTCTTCCCGACTACGCATCCATCGACTGGGAGTATAACGAGGACGTCAAGGCCATGAAGTCGCAATTCAACGGCTTGACATCCACTTACTTCCGTCCTCCTTTCGGTACCGAGGGTGCCCGCATGCGTTCGCGTCTCACAAAGGCTGTCGGCAATACCGCCAAGATTGTCAACTGGAGCGTCGATGTCGAGGACTGGTTGTGGGCTGAGACCGACACCCCTGAGCAGCAGAAGGTTGCTTTCCAGCGTGACGTCGACAAGGGTGGTAACCTTGTGGTTCTCCACTACCTCTACCCTAGCACTGTCAGCTACCTTCGGGAGTTCATTCAGATCGCCAAGGCTACTGGCAAGCAGCTTATGCGTGTCGATCAGTGCATGATGGACCCCAACGCTCCTCCGCTATAGATCCGATCATGTAGTTTTAATTGAGTTGATGAGAGGATGATACCCGAAGGTGCGAGCTGTTGTAGAATAGAGACTCGTTTAGCATATCTTGTTAATCGTAATTACATCTCTTAGAACCATTCATATGAGCATCCAGCACGTTGTGACCATCTTCCTGATCTACCGCAGAACGACTATGTTAGATCAAAGCTTGGAGGCATCTCGGGAGAAACTGATTGTGCTGAGGGCCGATAAGCGGCATGAAGATTACGATGCCTCTTCCTTTTACCATAAGCACCTTATCATGGTAGGCCCGATTGTCGTGAAGCTACGTCTCAGGTCCTGTGAGTAATCACGCACATTAATCAAAGCTTCCTCAGGCGTTTAGTAACCACCTTGACACACTTCGACAGCTCTCCATCAAATATACTTTGCGGGATTAGTATCTTCATCACGTCCTGGGTAGGCGCAGGCAGGCATTTAGGGTTGACCATGCATTTCGCGATTCCCGCTATAACAAACGCTGCGAGCCTTGGAATGCATTGCCTCAAAAACCAATTGTACGAAACACGATGTCCGATGTACGACGGCCGATCACGGGCTGTATGCTGGATGGATCTGGGAAAAGGCACAAGTCGATGATGGAGTGACGCCACTGTCGGCTGAAAACTCCCTAGCGCCGAAGCGACCGAAAGTCACGTGCCGTCAGCAAGATGGCCGGGTGCAAGCGCATACCGCACTATCCTTCCCACCTACATCCTCGACATTCGCCAAAGGCTTCTCATCGGCATGCAGTTATCTTCTCGTGTTGATTATGCGGAGGCGCGTCTTCGGACCGTTGGCGGTGACGGCTTACCTTTCTATTTTCCCTGTAGGCACACACACGGCACAAGTTATGGTGTCTATTGAGTAATAACAAATGAACTATCTTTGTAAGCGCGCAGCCTCAAAGGCTATCAGATTTCGTCTATCAATGCCTACCTAGGTACTTGTCCACGGGTTCGTCCAACACCACTCTGGTAAGCTTTTAGGATCCCACTCCCTCACCCTGGTTGCCTCAAACTCTCCCTTCTCGTCCCTACGGAGAACAAACCTTGGCTTTCTCACATATCTCCCGAGATAGGCTTCCATGAACTCATACTCTTCCAGCTCAATCAGCAGCGGTAACTGCTGATGGTCTAGCTCCAAATACAGATATCTCGTCAAATTCTTCAGGACCCATAATGACGCAGCCCAGAGACCCGGTTTTGTAGTCTTGTAGTGGATGGCATGGTAGATCAGTGAGTCGAGATAGGTCGTAAGATTCGGGACCAAAATGGGACTTGGGTGACTTGCGCTTTTGCCGCGCGGTAAGCCGGGGAAAAAGATGGCGTTGGGATGCGCACCAGGAGGCGAGTTTGGCACCTTCGTGTCTGGATGCACACGAGGACCATACCACCATCCATTCTCTCGGTGCAGAGCTGGATGCCAAGTCTCTTCGACGAGGATAGGCTGCCAACAGTCACGTCGGGGACTTCGATAGTGATGCAGCTATCTATGTCCAGATGGTATGCGGTGTCGGACCAAAGAGCTAGGTAGCGGAATTCGTCTTCGTTTTCGGTGGATGTTTGCCGGAGCACGATATCGGCGTCGCAATTCATTACTGGGTCATTGCCAAAAATGTCTTCTGGATCTCGCTCGTTGATTTCCCATCTTTCCGTGGCCAAAAGATCGGATGCGACGGCTTTCAGCGTGTTTTGGCGGATGAGAATTTCGTGTACATCTGTCATGGTTCCGGCAGACCCCATCCATCGCTGTGCCGCGCATCCAACGAGTAGGAAAGGATGTCGATGGGATGCCAGAACGTCCAGAACGTGGTCGAGGCTGCCCTTCTCGGTTGCGACTGGCTTTGGCGCTATGTAGCCGCCAGGTTCTGTTTCGTTACGTTCCATCGTGTGTTTACGTTGTGATGAAGTCGGTAAAATTGGATTTGGTGAGGATGATAGAAGAGGAATGAGTAAGTCGTATGATCAACCTAGGTAAGTAAACGTTCTTGTTGCATGGTTACCTTTGGATGAATGCGCCAAAGGACCGTGGAACCGAGGAGTCAGAACGCTGCGCTAGGATGCTAGCCAACCGATATTCTACGAAAGCGGGTAGCTACGTCACGAGAGGTGTATCACTGGCGTGCATGCACTGAACCGCAATCTTTTAGGATAGTACTCTAATTCTCAAGATTGCAGCGCGATACTCAGTATGTGTTTGTAGATTGTTTATGTCGTTGCTACTACACTGTATTATTCCCGCGAGTTGACGAGCTCAATCTTGTTTCTTCCGTCAGTTCGCTGCATAAGCCCCATGAGATAATGCGCATAGCCGTTGAGACCCTGCTCCATAACTCCATCTCGCCCTCTACGGCCCATTTCCCATCGCATTCGCCTCCGATGTCCTGCGCTGGCGTTCGTCCTCCGCTTTCCTGGCTTCAACCTGTATGTCCGCGATATCTTCTGGATGCCTCTGGATCTGCGACCTGATGATGCCGATTTGAGAACTGACAGTAATGGCCTGATTGGCGTGGAGATGAGTAATGGCTTCCAGCTTTTTTGTCGTGCGCGCGTGAGCGGCTTTCTCTTGCGCGAGTTCTGCTTCGAGACGAGCGACTGGATCGACTGGGCTTTGGGGGAGGGACATGGTGGCGAAGAGCTTGGGGCTGGCTGTTAGTGACGTCGTTCAAATTGGGCGAGAAGGGGAGAGATACCTTTATTTTGAGTCGTACGGAGAAGGTGCGGCTGGGTGGTTGCTGGCAGGAACAATTGTGGAAGACGTTGGATGGCAAAGGTGGTGGCGGATGAGAGTGGACGATGGTCTTGAGTTATCAAGGCGCGACCTCAGTCTCTTTCACTTTCACCGGCTGTTGTTTGTTTGTTTGCTCGCTTGCGCGTAGGGCCGCACAAGTGAAGGTGCGTCCGGCACGAAATACTCGTGGCCCGTCTGAGCTACAACACTGAACAGCCACCATCGAACCTCGCCGCGCAGTCACACAATTGACTGCATCAGCACAGCTAACTATCCTCCAGTTGCCAGCCATGGCTGAGCGCAACGCCCTCATAACACCATCAAGCTGGCAAGCGCCGCCGGCACAGACGGATGACGTCGGCATGAACGGCCAGCAAACCACACTCAAGGAGGACGAGCCAGCAGCACGTGATGTTGGCTTGCCGGAGCCTTACAAATCGTTCTTGGGAGAGTCAGAGAAAAGATATGCAAGGAAAGAAGCAGTAGAAGCAGCTACCAAAGACTATGACAAAAAGCTAGAGGGGAAGGAGTTGGATCGTGAGAAGGATTTGAGGCATCTAAAGCTTGAATTCATTCTCCACGTCGACGGTCTCAAGCGAAAGAATGAAGAGCTGCAGATCACGATTGACGCCTTCCACATGCTGTTTGAGAAGATGCGCGGCGAGCATACGACAGAGATCCATGAACTTACTCAAGCTATGCAGCTACTTTGGAGTGAACTGTATGCCAAGGACAAGGAGCTCAAGGTCATGTATGACGCGCACGATGCTCTGGTCAAGAAAGTCGACGAGGAGAGGGCGGAGTTACCGAAGAAGCTGGCCGACGCTGCGAGGGATGCGCTTGCTCTTCAATCCAACGCACTCAAGTTATCTGACAATGCCGTTGTTGCAAAAGGCCCTGCGTTAGTACACGATATCCCTTACCACTGACATGGCTGACTCTGTCTAGATCCGTTCCTGCGCACCTCAAAGGCAAATCTCAACGCTTCGCACACTGCAGCCAGTGCATGCGACACAACTGGGACTGCGACCGCGGGGTTCCATGCAAGAACTGCTCGTTGCAAGGCATCAAGAAAGGTTGTAGGCGGGTTGCGTGCGAAGACTACAAGAAGGGCACGTGCAAGAACAAACAGTGTCGCTTTGCACATGAAGGAGAGATATACAAGCGGCTCCATCCTTCCGAAGACGTATGGGGTGATGGGCGTGAGCTGAGTCCAGTCGAGCTCGACAAGATGGGTGTTTGGTAGATGGACGACAGCTCGCTAGTACTACATGGCATGAGAAACGTCGAGAGAGATGTGAGACAACACAGTATTGGGAATACAACATACAATTTGAGCTGTGTTACATGACAGGAAAGATGGCTTTGGAGGCGACAAGTGATTTTCGGTTGATGGAAATGATCCTGCGCATGAGTTGTCACGTCCTGGGTATCATTGTACACCTACATTTAGCGAGGTTGGCAACAATGTATACAAGTATATCTAGGGAGTCAACGCTCTCGGTTCTACAGCAAAGAGTTTGTTGAACATGTTCTGTGGGTCGTACTTGGCCTTCAGATCTTGCAAACGTTCGTAGTTGTTGCCAAAGACGTCTCTGGACTTCTCTTCATACTCTGTCTGGGCGTTAGCACACCGTTGCTTGCATAAGGATATCTTTCCCGTGTTCTCATTATATGAGTGAGGAGTGCACGCTTTGGAGAGTGCTTACGGTCGTAGTTCCCATACACCATTGTGGCGCCATGACTGCCTCTCTTCCCAATCCACCCATCGTTGCTCGCCGCTGCCTCAGCGCCGCCACGTTGAAGTTCATTCTTGAACAAGAGCGCAACACCCCTCGACCACTGCCTACACTTCTGATCGTTCTCCTGGTCCCACCACAAAGGTGCAACAGCCGCATTGAAGTGTCTTCCGCGGTTCGCAAAGGCCATGTCAGAGTTGGTGACTTCAACAATCTTCGTCGGGTCTAGTAGCTCCCACATGACCTGGGAGCCGACTGCATCGGATGTCTCGTCAGTAAACTTGGCGTACGCCTCCAAGACGGATACCACGAAGTCGCCACGGACAGGAAGCTCGAACCCAGCTCCCTTGATAGAGACACGTGCACCGATGGGTAAGTCCATGAGTTTGTTTGCCTTGGCGTAGGGCATCATTGCCATGGTACTCATCAAAGGTTCCAACCCAACGATATCCTTGAACAGCTCTTTGCCGTCTTCTTCCGACCCATGGAAGATCGCGGCTACGAAGAACAGGACCTGGCCACCAGCAGGTGGAGGCCTGACGAAACCGAAAGCACTCGCAGCTTTCCCCGTCGCTTTTGAATTGCCATCTGCGTCCGGTGTGAAGATATCGTTGCATGCTTCCACGGCTTTCTTGATGATATCTGGCGTTGGTGCAAACATCATGAAGCCAGCCCACAGATCGCCTGTCTCATGGGTGCGGAATACAAACTCAATGCCGACACCAAAGTTCTGTCCCGCGCCGCGCAGAGCCCAAAACAGGTCTGGGTTCTCATCGGTAGAGGCTTTGACGATACTGCCGTCCGCCAATACGACAGTACATGAGATGAGATTGTCGACAACCAGTCCGTGTTTGACTGTGAGCCAGCCAAAGCCGCCGCCGAACGTGAGACCACCGACGCCGGTATCTGAGACGGTGCCACCAACTGCTGCAAGACCGTACGGTGCAAGAGCTTCGTCAACATCACCCCAAACGGCACCTCCGCCGACTTTGATCGTTCTTTCCTCGACGTCGACGTCGACGTCGGTAGTACGCATATGTGTATTCAAGTCGATAAGTAGTCCGCCGTCCGTTGATGATGCACCAGCAGTCGAGTGACCACCTCCTTTGACTGCGAGATCAAGATTGTGTTCGGAAGCATACTTGAGGGTGATTGAGATTGCTTCTGCCGATCTGGGTATTAGACATGCTCCCGCTGGCTTCACAGCAGCGCTTGACCATCGGTGAATGGATTTTGTGTATGCCTCAGTTTCCTTCGGTGTCACTAACTGGGCGTCTGTATCTCCCAGCAATTCGCGAAGTTCCGCGATGTCTGCTTCGTTGATCGGGCGTTTGGTAGCCATCGCGCGGAGAGTAGTATAGTGACGAGTAAAAGGGACGAAGGACAAATATTATGACGGATACTTGTACATATAGGGCTTCGAGCGCTTGGTCCAACCTTGAGTAGGCGAAGACGTGACGAAGCGGGTTCTACATTGGGGCGTAAGCTTACCACGCCGTCGACCGTCAGCAACGTAGGAGCATGGCGAATAGCTGTCGCCGACAGCTCGGCAAAAGTAAGGCCTACCATCGCCGGCCGTGTTGACAGGGAGCTCGACCGTATAACTGATATCGGACTGATTGTTCATTGGAGACGCCATGCGGTTTTCGCAACCCACCCATGGCGATCAGCTCGACCACATGTACACTACAGCCCATAAGGTCTCATTTCCGAGCCCAATTTCGCACGGTGTCACTAGACTCTTGTCAAGATCTATCGTCGTCTTTGTTCTGGGCCTGGCATGGACGTCAAATATGTGAGCTGGCCAAGCGCGTGGCGCTCGAATCTCGAATAGCTGATGCAGTTGTGCTGGACAGCGCCCATGTGAGCCTTTAGATGCTGACGGCCCAGAATGATGCGCCATACTTAAACAGTCGTCTTTGCTTCTCAACCTGTGATGAAGCGCTGTCCGTAGGCTCTGGGGATGGCTGCATCAAACATGGAGTCGGTGTTGCGTTTCCGGTAACCATGATCTGGAGGTCGACGGATGGAATAGAAGGCGAAATAATCGATTCAAGGGGGTACGCACGAAGACCGCGGTTGATACCACGAAGCTGTCATGATGGGAAGGGTCCGTCGAAATGACGCGCATAGGGGAGTGGCGGGGAAGGGAAAGGGATCGGCAAACCTACCTAGGTAGTCAGCCTTGGCAGTCGCGTCGCGTGTTGCGAGCTTCTTCTTACGTCCGACGTTCTACCCCATCCTGCATCCCTTCTATTTCATCAGACACCATGCCTTCGTTCTCTACTTTTGCTATGTATTATGACTCCTGCATTCCCCGATTGGCGGCACGCGAACAAATGCAATGCTCATGACGTCATGTTGTCAGCGCACGCGAAGTCTGCCTCAAAGGCTGCACAGATCTCGAACGATATCGCACGCGGTCGAAGTATCATGGCGAAGATGTAGTATTGCGCAGGTATTTTACTGTGCGCATGCATGTCATCTTACGATATTGCGTTGCGCGCTCAAAGTCGTGTCGCGAGCCAGGTCGGAGAGCATGTGACTCAACGCAAGCTCGACTTTCACTTCTCCCAGGTGCCTCACAGACCTTGATGGCGGCGAGGAAGAGATCTTGATTAATGCGAGGTAGTATATCCTTGCAGTTCAACCCTCGGAAGACAAGGCTTTTCTTCGTATAGCCTTCTAGACGCCGAAATTGTCGTAATGGTTGCGCTACAGTCTAGGTGATGCTGGCTTCAATGCATTGCTCAGCGCCGTGCACGCATGTCAGGTACAATCTCACAACGCTTTTGTTCCGCTCGTTTATTCATCATGTCTCTTTCCGCCAGAATCTGCTTGGGACCGTAGAGCTTAAAGTGGTGGGGTTTTTGCGTTCGTCTCAGAGAGGATGGCAAGTGGTGTCTAGAAGTTCGAGACGGCAAGATAAATAGCTCATCTACGGGGATCACTTTCGTATTATCATACGTTCGATATCATGTTTAAGAGATGGTGGCATTGTGAGCGCTGCGCCTGGGCAGCATCTCCTAACCCAAGGCCACACGGTCGGCTTTGCGAGGTCGTCATCGCCGCCAATGTCGTGCTGCCTTCACCGAACAACTTTGCGTCGTTTACCATTACTGCACGCTTACCTGGCTCGCATTGACAACTGAGATCCTCGACTGCAAGCTGAGTTATATGGCCTGCTGCCCTCCGCGGGTCGCGATCTTGGACATTGTGCGCCGCCTGAATATACTGCCACCTACGATTTTTCAACCACAGGACCAACCCATCGCTTCCGCGCACAACAACAACAACAACAACAACACAACCGATTTTCTCATTTTTGGTACCCCAACCAAGACCACAGACTTTTCCGCGACTCGACAGCGCAGCACGTCTACAGCCAACCTCTGCCAACTCTAAGGCGAAGCCATCTTTAAGCAGCGCAGTCGCCTTCACCTTCACTGGACGCATTCAATCCGACGCTCACTTCGACTTCCGCGACAAGATTGCGACTAGCGCCAGAATACCACCTCTACTCGCACTTTCATGCACTCTTTACCTACGTCTCACCTCGACCTTTGTCTACTCACCACAACCTTATCCCACGATATCATCGCATCAGTCACACATTGCTACCCCGCGCGTTGATCGTGCATTTTCATTTCATACCGATTACCCGCACCCGGATCGCTCTTACTGTTATGGCGCCCTCGGCTCTCACCTCCCAAGGGAGCCCGTCGAACCCCGAACCCGCAAAGCCACAGCAACCCACTCCAGAAACGTCCCAGAAGGCTACTTCGCCCACGGTCTCACTTTCCGAAGAGAACATCGCCCTTAAGCAGCGCCTTGCTCAGTCTGAACTAGCCAAGAAGCACCTTGTCGAAGAAGTCGCGGATGGGAAGCAAAGAGTCATTGATGCCGCGAAGCGTGCTACTGCCGCCGAGATCGAAACGAAAGCAGCAAAGGCACGCGCCCAGAACCGCTATACAGAGAAGGTGCACGCCAATAACGAGAACCGTCACCTGAAGAAAGAGATCGATACGATGAAAAAGGAGCGTGCGGACTTCATTGTTGGTGTTAATAGCATTCTTCAGGGTCGCGACGAGATAATAGCTAAGCTCGAGGAAGCAAGAGCCAGCGGAGAATGGTCCAAAGAAGTCACTGCAGAGTTCACAAAGCAGGTAGATGTCTTTCAACAGGGCTACCTCGCGTCTGAACGTGGTAAAGAGAAGGAGAAACGTGAGAAAGAGAAGGAGAAACGTGAAAAAGAGCTGGAGAAAAAGGTGTCTGATAAGATCATTGGCCAGCTTAAATCCGACAGGGACACGCAGGGCAACGTCAACAAAGATCTGAAAAGCGTGATCGCACAATTACGACAAGACATCGCCACGGAGAAAGAAAAATCGAAAGCCGCAGTCGATGCGCCGACCGTGGACCAGATCGAGGCTCGCCTCGCTGCTGCCAAGGCTGATGGGTTCAAAGAAGCCACCATAGCAAAGCAGAGTGAGAACGCTGAGTACCG